TGTCTGGGAGAGGCATTGTTCCTTGGTTATAGAGTAGCTCCACATAAACTCCTTTTATATATGTATATAATTTAGGAAACTTCTACGGTAGGTTTCCATATGGCATTTTCAAAGGTCTTTAAATGTTTTACCCTGCCCTTCCATCCCCCATTCCACTTAATCCTTTCTGTCTCATTACTGTCTTCTTTTCTCTTTCATGTGTTCTCTCCTGCTTCTCTTGAAATTCCACCATGGCCCCTCACTAGTTCTCTGGGTGCTCCAATTTAAACACACATATGTAAAGTTCAAAGTTAGTAGCCACGTATGAGAGAGAGAACATTGACACCTGTCTTTCTGGATCAGGGTTACCTTACTCAGAATGATTATGCCTAGCTTCATCAATTTACTTGCAAATTTCATGTTTTTTTCTTTACAGATGAATAAAATTCCGTTTGGTGTGTGTACACATTTTTATTATCTATCTATCTATAGTTGGCAGAGAACTAGGCTGTTTCCAGTTTTGACTATTGTGAATGGAATAACAATGAATATGGATGAGCAATATCTCTGTAGTTTGATAGAGTTATTTGAACATATGACCAGGAGTGGTATAGCTGAATCATATAGTCGATTTCTTTCTTTCTTTCTTTCTTTCTTTCTTTCTTTCTTTCTTTCTTTCTTTCTTTCTTTCTTTCTTTCTTTCTTTCTTTCTTTTTCTTCCTTCCTTCCTTCCTTCATTTATTTTGAGGCACCTCTACACTAATTTCCATAGTGGCTGTACCGATTTGTACTTCCACCAATAGTAAATAAGTCTCCCCTTTCCCCAATATTGAAGCCAGTACTTATTGCCATTTATCAATTTTAAAATTTTTTACTCTCTTTATTAGTTTCTGGAGGAGACTTGTCTGTGTTTATCTTCTACAGTGGCAGTCACAGTACTTTGCAGAATGATGCATTGAAAGCAATGGCCCCTTTCTAAGTTCTCTGATCTGGGCTGCTGGACACATGCTTGTGATAGTTAACTTTGATTAACCAGGGTAGGCTATAGTCTCATAGATGATGCTGTGAAATTTTCTTTGAAGAGATTATAAGCATTCAAACCACAGACTTTACATAAAGCAGGTCCCTCCCTCACAACACAGCTATGCCTCATCTACTTTGTTGAAGGTCTTAAAAGACTGAGGAAGTGGGACTGGAGAGATGGCTCAGTGCGTAAGAGCACTGGCTATTCTTCCAGAGGACCCAGGTTCAATTCCCAGAACCCACATGGCAGCTCACAGTTACTATCTGTAGCTCTAGTTTCAGGGGATCTGACACCCTCATGAAGACATACATGTAGGCAAAACACCAATGCACATAAAATAAAAATAAACAAGGAAGAAGGTCTGTCTGGGACTTCGGACTGCAGCATCAGCTCTTCCCTGGGTCTAGCTTTCTGGACTGTCTTGCACCTGCCCTGTGGATTTGAGACTTGCCAGCTCCCACAGTTGTGTGAGCCAATTCCTTAAAATAAATCTCTCTCCGTTACACATACCCTGTGAGTTCTAATTCTCTAGTGAACCCCTACTAACAATTCCTTCTTGTTGCAGGACACTGTGAAGTTCAATGTGCTATTTTGGATGAAAATATGTTTGGGGTAAAGATAGTTTTATTTGGAACTCATTTATTAGGGTGAGACCCAAGATTGGAATCCTTTTTTAAGTGTTTCAGTACATGAACAAGATAAACATCCCTCTTTAGTTCACTTTCCATTGGGGAACAAAAAATGGTACAGCCATTGACATTTGGATATGTGCTGGAATTGGGTTTTATTTGGGAACCACAACCTTGGGTCCCTTAGGAAGCATAAATACTTAGCCCAGTGCATACCCCAACTAGGTGGCGACAGTCTGTTAAGTTTTCCTTGGAAACTTGTGGATCTGTGTTTAGCCAGTAGGAACTCTGAGCAGAAGAAGTACTAAGAAACGAGCCATCAGAGTTTTCCTGTTTAAAAAGTGTGTGGTGTAGCTGGTGTTGGTGTCTCTCTCTACCTCATATCCTGAGGCTCTCTCGCTAGAACCCAGAACTGACTGATGCATCTAGTCCAGCTCATCAGCTTCTTCCAGGGATGGACTTACTGCCTCTGCTTCCTGAGCCCTGGGGTTCCAGGTGCACTAGTAAGTCAACCCAGCATTTAACTGGATGCAGAGAATCAAAAAAATCTGGTCTTCACTCTTGTGGGGCAAGCACTTTATCCAATGAGCCATCTTCCCAGCCCATATTCCTTAAAAAAAAGATTCATTTTTATTTAGGTACACATATGAGTACCTGTATGTTTGAATGCATACATCATGCATGCCTGGTGGTCTCCCATACATGCCTCTTGCCTGAGGAGTTCAGAAGAGGGGTTAGATCCCCTGAAGTGGAGTTACAGGAGATTGTGAGCTGAAATGTGTGTGATAGGAGCTGACCCCAGATCCTCTGCAAGAGCAGCAAGTGATTTTTAACCACTGAGCCATCTCTCTAGGTCCCCACATTTCTCTCTCTTTCTCTCTCTCTCTCTCTCTCTCTCTCTCTCTCTCTCTCTCTCTCTCTCTCTGTCCCTCTCTCTCTCTCTCTCTCTCTCTCTCTCTGTATTTTTGTCCCTTTTTTGTGTTTATTTTTTTTACTATGTCTTTATTAATTTTTTTCATTTATTTTACATACTGAGCATAGTTTCCCCACCCTCCTCTCCCTTTGTGCCTTCCCACCTCATTTCTACCCCTGCTCCCATTCACTTCTCTTCCCCAGCTTCTTTCAGAAAGGGGTAGGCCTCCCATGGGAATCAACAAAGCATGGCACATCAAGTTGAGGCCGGAACAAGCTCCTCCCCCTGCATCAAGGCTGGGCGGGGCCATCCAGCATGGGGAATGGATCCCATATTCCTTTTTTTTATGCTACAGTTTCCTTCTGTTTTTGTTTATTAAATGTCCCAGTGAAATTATTTTTGCTATTGTTCCACAAACACTGTGATACCAATTAAGGAATTCAAAGAATAGAATTTACTTACAAACTCACTGTTCTAGAAATGTAAATTTTTTTTTTTTTTTTTTTTTGGTTTTTTGAGACAGGGTTTCTCTATGTAGCTTTGCACCTTTCCTGGAACTCACTTGGTAGCCCAGGCTAGCCTCGAACTCACAGAGATCCACCTGGCTCTGCCTCCCGAGTGCTGAGATTAAAGGCGTGCACCACCACAGTCCGGCTGAAATGTAAACTTCTTTTTTTTTTTTTTTTTTTTTTGTTTTTCGAGACAGGGTTTCTCTGTGTAGCTTTACGCCTTTCCTGGAACTCACTTGGTAGCCCAGGCTGGCCTTGAACTCACAGAGATCCACCTGGCTCTGCCTCCCGAGTGCTGGGATTAAAGGCGAGTGCTGGGATTAAAGGCGTGTGCCACCACCGCCCGGCTGAAATGTAAACTTCTTAAGAGCATCGACAGATCTTTGAGTCTAGGGTAGAGGGTCTCTGGGGAAGGGAAATCTTGAAGAGGCTACTGTCAAACAACTGTTCTTTTCTGCCATGTAATTGACAAGTTGGTATTCTCAGAGTGGCTCAGTGGAATTGCAAGCACATTTGTGCCCTTTGGAAAGCCCGGAGGCTGTTGGATTTTCACAACAGCTGTCTCAGTGACCCCTCCCGGGCTCAGCTCTCCACTGCCCATTTCCCTTTTTGTCTTCTGAAGCCCGAGCATACGAGACTCTGGCAGCTAGAACAAGGTTGAGAGCAACTGACACAGGAAACGGCGGTGGCTGGACTGATGCCTGCCTGCAGCTGAATGGGGACGCACAGCCAGGTCTTAGCAAGGAAGCAGCTGTCACTCCAAACATCGGGCTCGATGTCACCGGCTTGCTTGTTTCCTTCTTCTAAAGTGGCTTAACTGCCTTAGGAAGGTAACACCAGTGCTTGGACACAGCACCACTCACACTTCACCTTGCAGTTTAGGAAGGGAGAGAAATAAGAAACAAATTCTCATCTAATGTTTCCTACATTGTATGGGGTTCTCTCTCTCTCTCTCTCTCTCTCTCTCTCTCTCTCTCTCTCTCTCTCTCTCTCTCTCTCTCTCTGTGTGTGTGTGTGGGGGGCCTGCTGCACAGGAGGGTGATTTAGGATCACTGCCTGGGTTTGAACCACACTAGTTGTAAGTCACCTAACTTCTTGTGTCATGTTCTTTCTGACATGACAACACCATAGCATGGTCATGATTATGTCTGAAGCACCTAGAACAGTTTACACACATGGTAGGTGCTATACACATGTTTGCTTTTATCCGTGTTAGTCAATGTTAAGGCAGTCCCATCCATCCTTTGGAAATGGAGGAAAATGAGGCTTATGGAGATTAAGTCCATCACCGGAGATGGCAGAGCATGAAACCAAACTCAGATTTATCTGCAGCGCCACGGCCCACCCCCACCCCCCAGCATGACCAGACATGCTCAATGCTATCAAATTTCCTCTCCTGTTTGCCAGCTTAGGGTTGAGTTTATCAGCCTTTCTTTGTACTGGAGAGGGTGAAATCCTATATGACTGCCTTTAATCTTTCATTCCATTCATCTCTGGAAAAAAAGCCAATGGTCAACATGCTGGGGGTGGGGGTGCAATCGAAGGGAGCAACTTCCTTCTTCTAGTCCTCCTTCCTTCCCCTGACTGCCAGGGCATAATCATAACTAATATTCAGAGCCCTTATTTTAGTCTGGGGGATTTAAGGATGGAGACAGGCTCATAAGACAGCTCTGCCTATCAGAAATACAATAAGACACATGTGAAATGTAACTAAGAGTTTCTAATAGCTACACTGAAAAAGTAAAAAAAAAAAATAAGTGAAATCTAAAGATACTGTTTAGATCAAATATCTTAACCTGGGATCAATGTGAAAATGATGCAGGGGATATTATCACCTTTTGGGGGTATTAAGTGTTAAATTCATGATGTTTTCTACACACACTGCCCTAGAACATACATGATGAGGCTGTTAATACCCGCAGCCATGCAGACCCACACACTGCAAGTGCCTACTTTATGTATTTATTTAGGCCCACTTTATTCATGTAACTGCGTGTGTCTAAAATTGCCTCCCCTGTATTCATGTTCAGATACTTATGGGGGAAAGTTGGCTGAAGGAATAACGGAGTCGCCTTTTCTCCAAAATTCTCCCGTTTTTTCCTGCAGCTGAGATTTCTTGTGTGGTCACTGACATGATCTGCCCGTCTGTACTGCGCACCACGCAATCAGGCATGATATGGAGGGCATTTGTAGGACTCAAGTCTCTCTTTTTCCCTGTCTTGTGCCTCTGTAGGGCCTCCACTGATGACAGCAGTCAGATTAGCCAAGCAGAGGCTTGATAAGGGTCAGATTTCTTGGACCGGATGACAGGCCAAGTCCGGAGCCCCGGGTATGGCGGGGCGTACTCAGGATGCGCAGTCTGTCCATCACGAGCATCCCAGCATCCGCTTGCGCTCAGCTGTGGCAGATCCGCTAGGGCCTCCGCCTCTTCCAGGGCCTGGAAAACAGCAGGAATCTCCCCGCCTGCCCGGCGTCCTAACTCCCCCTCCCCCGCCCCACAGGACCCAGGGCGGAGTCGCCCACCTGTCACCGAAACGTCCCACGTGGGTCAGCTGGAGGAGGGGTTGAAGGGAGGCAGAAAAGGCAGAGGCGTGGAGGGAGGCAGACGTGAGAGCCCTGGGAGGAACCGAGGAGAGAAGCTGAGACCTCCCAACAACAGAAGAATCTAGAGGACCCCCCCCCCCCCCAGACACCTAAAGACAGGTAAGGATGGGGCAAGTGAAAGAAAGGAGATAGAAACTAGGTTAGCGGGAAGAGAAGGAAAAGATGGGAACGAGGGAGGGGCTGTGCATACACGACGAGATAAGATGGATAGCTGCGCTGCAGGAGAAGGATTCTAGCCAGAAGACGACGCCTAAGGGTGGGGGAGGAGGAAGCCAGGCGCCTGCACCTTTAAGGTTGCCAAGGCAACCGCTCTGGCCAGAGCGAGGCGCATTGACGTCAGCAGCCGAGCTCTGATTGGCCGCGGTCGGCTGGTTTCCGGTGGAGCCGTCGCGGCGCCGCTATCGCTGAGTGGAGTGAGGAGGGTGCGAGCTGAATTCACCCTGAGGACGCCCGGTACCCCGGCAGCCTCGCCCCGTGCAAGTCCCGCCCGCGCCGCCGCCCGTCCGCAGGTGAGTGCGGGTCCGCGGGCTGCCCCGGGGGCCCCTGGCCGCGGTGCCCCGCCGCGCGTTCCTGGAGGCGCGGGAGCGAGCCAAGATGGCGCCCCGGGGCGCGCGCTGCGGGGGGACGGCCGCACCCCCTGCGCCTCCGAGGCGGCCGGGGGGCCTCGCGCAGGCCCCGCACTCCCGGGCCGCACCTGCACCCCTTGCTCACGGGGTCCCCAGGCCGCCCGTGCCCCCCGCCGCTCCGCCCCCGGCCTTCGCCGCTCCGTGTCCCCCGGCCGTGCGCGGCGGCCTTCGGGCCTCCCTCGGCTCCCCGGCCGCCTCCGCCCCCGCGCGCCGCGGCCTCCGCGCTCGTCCTCCCTCCCCCACTTCCTGAAGGACAACAGCTCGGTTTTTTTAACCGGAATCCGCCATGGTTCTTCTGTCCTGGTCGTGATACTCGGCTGTAGTCTTCATCTCCGCTCGGTCATTTCTGCGCTGGGCTCCCCTCCCCTTCGCGGGCTCGGCTCCCTCCACCCCTCCGCTCGGTGACTCCAGTCTAGCTCCAGTTCTCTTTGTCCCCCCCCCCCCCTTTCTCTTCTCCTCTCCCGATTTCCACCCCCCAGCGCCTCCCCCAGCCTTTCCCAGGCCTCCTGCTCAGCGTCTGAGGCCTTGTGCCTGGGGAGGGATGAGGGTCGTCCTTCTGCACGCAGTGGTCATGACCGTGGCCTACGTGAAGTGAAGGGCACTTTTCCTGTCCTCCCTCTTGAAAATACGCGGCGCCCGTTAACCCCTCCAGCTCAGTACGGGGGTGGGGACAGCCGGTGACTCGAGGGAACCCCAGTAGATAGGTTTCTTGAGCAGAGAAAAGAAAGCTCGAACCAGAGGCCGACCCCCAGGGCCGGGTTAGTGTTCCTTGGCATCCTTCAGGGGATGTGGGCCGTGTCAGCAACAGGCTCTCACAGCGTTTTAAATATGTCTTCCAGTGTAGTCCTTCGGAAAGCGAGAGTTTCATCAGAGCTGAATTTCCTCAGGAATCTGCCCTCATGAATAGACAGTGTAGTGATGGCTTTGAAATGTTTGTTTTGGAGGAAAGCTAAGTTGTTGGGCTTTGAAAAATAAGCACAAATGTTAAGACATAACCGATTAAAGATATTAAGGCCATAAAATTCGATTATTTGGGGTTTCACATGGTGACTGCAGTAATTTGAGGGGAGTGCCACCCTTTTGGTCTGTGTAGTGCATAAACCATTTTCCACTTACTAGGTCCAGTTGAGCCGTCTTTACCAGCCAGAGACCAGATCTGGGAACGATTCCTCTAGTCAGTCAAATATACATGTACTGACATTGTGGAAACGAGACTGGATGCTTTGGAGCATAAAAGATTTGTTTTGTCCATGTTCCTGGTGACCTTCAGTATTTGGAATGGAGAAAATTCCTCTGAAGTAGATTCTTGGTTTCAGATAGTTGTCTGACCTGGAAGCATGGCAAGAGCAGATGTTATCTTACAGTAAAAAATTTTCCCTTTAGAATTTATTCTGAAATAACAGCGTGCCTGTCTCTGGTTTCTAATGTGTGTGCTTGTCGGGAACCACAAACTTTCTCCTGGTCTGCTAATTGCTTGTTATTGACCTTTATCTTGAAAGTTGTCAAAACAAAATGATAACAGTGCAGCACTTTGAAATAGTTCTTTATCCTGCCATTTCTTTTAAATTCAGTTTGACTTGGTGGGTCTGTGAGCATTATCATTTGAAAAGTGGTTAATTTTCAGATAGTTTGCAGAGTGGAGAGGGAGTCATCCTTTAATCTCAAGTGCTTAGTAATTAGGAGATAGGAGGAAAACTAAATGTCTGTTAGAAGTACCAAGCTTTTAACTCTGTGGCAGGTTGGCTGCCCATTATTGTTTTTCTATTTCACATTAATGTAGTCTGAATGCAGTTTTATCTATTGAGTCATCCTGTAAGCTTTCAGCCAGTGTATTTTAACATATTCCTGTCTAGATGAAGAAAATCTTAGTTTGCTTGATAGATTTTATTTTCTGTACTACAACCTTTCAATTCTTTCCACTGATAATTGTATTACCTTCTAGGGCTGTAGTTTAGTGAAAGATAATGGAATGAAAGATTGCTGAGAAAAGGCACCCGAGACTTCTTTTGTGTTTCAGAAAATTTGATTTCACTAATATTTGGCTAATCAGCTCCTTTGCCCTGGTGGTTTGCTGTGTGACATTAGCTGTGCTCATGGGATGGGAGGTGCGCACAGGGGAATGTCAGATGTTCTTCATTGTGCTCTGTGCTTTCACTTAGAGCCGACCTGTGTGCCCTTGTAATTCTCTGTCCTGTTTACCATTTACACATTTCCCACGTCATCATCATGATGTCTTTTGCAAGACTGCTGAATGAAATTCTCTTAGGGCCTGAGTCCTCAGCACTGCCTCACTTGCTCAGCAGGGCAGACTGGCTCCTGCTTCTCCCAGGAGCTAAGGGGCTTCTCTGACTGCACACTGAGCCCAGGTTGAACAGTAGGAACTAAATGAAACGCTTTAGTTTCATTTTGAAGAATTCAAATTCTGTACATATTTTATACCCAGCCCCCACCTCCTCTTTAAACACAAACTGTTGAGTGGGGAAAAGAATTATATGGATCTGTTGTCTAGTGAATTTAATAAGTCACAGGCCAGATTTGCATTTGTACTTTGTAGCTTACCCAGCGCACCTGTGCTTCTTCTCCCAGAGAATCATGGCGTCTGGCAGTACTGCCGCCAGTGAGGAAGAGCGGAGTCTCCGGGAGTGTGAGATCTATGTCCAGAAGCACAACATCCAGGCCCTGCTGAAGGATTCTATTGTGCAGTTGTGCACTGCTCGACCCGAGAGACCTATGGCATTCCTTCGGGAATACTTTGAGAGGCTGGAGAAGGTAAAAATAAATGAGGGAGCGATGCGATGACCATGGCAGTTGTTGTTAGATTTAATGCTTCTGAATGTGCCTGGTTCGCGCCTTTTGGGAGAAGAGGAATTCTGACCAAATGAGAAGTCCAACAGAAATTACATTAGCATGCGGTGGAGGATTTCTTAGTAATTTTAATGAGAATCTATCAGAAATTGAATCGATGCTGTTTGTTTGGCTATTAAAGGGTTTCCAAACAGTTGGTTTTGACTATTCTAAATAATGTTTACAATTGACTAAAACGGGTACAGTCAATCAAGTGTAGTATGACAGTTGTATGAATTGAGAAATAGTTAAAAGCAGTTAGTGCCCTTCTTCAAGAAAGCAGATGAGCTTTTAGTTTATCCCACCTTTAAAACTACAATCACACATCTGTGTGTCTAGCTTGGGGTGGTATAATCAGAATCACTTCTGAACTCTTGTTTTACTGTTTGATAGCTGTGTAATGGGAAGACAGGAGATTGATGGCTATCACATTTTTACTGTATAATTTTGATTAGGTCTTGTTCCCCAGAAAGTATGCATTTGATTTTTATTCTGTCTTGTTACACACACAGGATGTAGATTTTGTCTTTTTTAAAAAAGTTGACCTATTTTTATGTGTGTGAATGTTTTGCCTGCATGAATGTATGTGCATTGCATGCTTGCCTGGTACCCACAGAGGTCAGAAGAGGGTGTCAGATCCCTTGGAGCTAGAGTTATGGATGGCTATGAGCCACCATATGGTTCTGGGAACTGAACCTGAGACCTCTGCAGAGAGCAGCAAGTGCTCTTAACTACCACGCCTACTCTCCAGCCTCCAGGATGTGCATTTCTAAGCAGAATTACAATTTTGCCTCTAGGATGATGCTTCTGTGCATTTTCCTCAAGAAATGATGCATTCAAAAGTTTGGTTCACCCAGTGTGTTAAGTAGTTGATTTAGTTTGCTTCTGTAAGTGTTTGGGGGTGAATGTACCACTTTGCTGTGCTTGCTGTGCATATTCAGGTCTTGAAGAGGTTCAAATACTGGGGCTCATATCTCTGATAACATGTTTCATATCTAATTGTACAGTAGAAATATCTGCAATATTCACATTGGTTTGGGCAGTTTCTTCTTGTCCATGTTTTTACATAAAAGAATGTGCATATGAAGGTTTTTAAAAAGTATTTGAGTAGCTCAGTAAGTAGGTATTTTACACTATTTCCTTGGAAATCTTTAAAATGCTATTGATTAGAATGATTAGACTAACTGGAAGAAAAGAAAACTGCTAAATCGTCCTCTGAATACAGTCTTGCCACCTTGGATTTGCAGTAGAAATGCTGGCTTTCTCTTATTTAAGCAATCGTTAATAATGGACATACTGGCCAGGAGTGCTCTGTTTTGAAATCAAGCGTGTTCCTGGAGATCTGGTTCTGAAATGGGTCACGGTAAGGCGATCCCTCTTCTTTGGGCATCAGTAGAAATCAAATGAGAGGATTAAGTTGGTGAGACATTAAGTGCCTATCTTTTTATAGGGAGTGTTGAGTGCATGACACTAATTTCAAAGCCTGTATTTACCACAGGAGTGTGTAAGGACTAACCAAGGTGGAAAGCAACAGATAATCGTTATTGTAGATTCTCTGTGGATGGGATTTTAGAGTTAATGTGCATGGACCTTCCCACCCCCCACCCCCACCCCCCAGTAGAAGTTACACAAGAAAACACCTTTCTTGTACATTGAGGTTTTTTTATCAGCTTGCCAGAGTTGAATATATGTAATATTCCACTTGGATTATTAATTAACTAGATTTTTGGCCTTTTAACAAAGCTATTCATGTATCGTGTTAATTTTTATGTTTGAAAATAAACTCACATTCTTACCATCTCCTTCCCCATTAACTAGGGGTTATGTTTCTGAAACCTTCAATGACTTCAGAAGAAATACACAAAAGAATAGAGTTGGTCAGTAGAGACAGCTGCATTTTAGTTCAGACCATCGTGCCTGGAACTTAAGTC